CTGCCTGGCTCTGCCTCCCGAGTGCTGGGATTAAAGGCGTGTGCCACCGCCGCCTGGCTATAAATCTTTTTTTTAAAAAAAAAGTTTGAAACAAACAAAAAGGAAACTTCCAGAAAGCCCATATTGCTGAAGCATAAGGAAAGTAGAGGTTTAAATCTCGACCCCAAGAGCACAGGAAGAGCCTGCAGGGTTGAGATTCTGGGAACAGGAGCAGCGGGGAGGGGCAGGTGCTGGGAAGCGTCCGTGTCGGAGGTATGAGGTCTAGGCCCCTCTGCGTACCTTGTCATTCAGCAAATAATGAGTGCCATGCCGATCGTGAGATGACAGAGATGAGCTGGTATCGGTTCTCAGGGCTCCAACCTTTTGAGAAAGATGGACCCAGAGAGCAGCCTTCCCATGGGATCAGAGGCCAGTGCAGGGCGTAGGAGGACACCGACCAAAGCCCAGAGGAAAGGGGCCGTCAGTCACTGTAAACTCCCGGGGGACGTGGCTTTTATTCTCAAGTGGCTTTCCTGGCCTTTGACCATTTCAAAGTGGACTGTTCATTGGCGTTTGGGACATTTTCAATACTGTACAGTCATCTCCCTGCTGCTGAGATATTTTCATCACATCAGAAGAAACCCCGACTTCCCACCCCCCCACCCCCAACATAGGTGATCTGCCTTCTGCCTCTGTTGATCTGTGCCGGACACTCGGTGTCAGTGGACTCCTGCACTCTGTGGCCTTTTGTGTCTGGCTTCTGGCACTAGTGTCTCGTTTCCTTGGCTCACCCATGTGGAAGCAATAGCGTTGCTTCGTTCCTTTGGTGACTGAATACTCAGCTATACAGATGTGCTACCATTTTTACATTTTCCAGCCGATGGACATTTGAGTAGTTCTACCTTTTTCTAAGTCAGTGCTTATTTTTCCCCTAACATTTGAAGATTTTGAAAGAATCCTACGTATATGTGTGTGCGTGCAGGTGTGATTCTATGTAGATGCACATTCATGCACACGTGGAGGTCAGACGAGGGCATCAGAACCCTCAGAGCTGGAGTTAGAGGCATGCTTGGAATGCCACATAAGCCCAGCAGCCAGAGTTCAGAGCCTCAGAACCCATGTAAAATGTCAGACTAATCTCAGCACACCCTTACGAGGAGACGTGAGGCAGACGGGAGAATCATCTGGAAGCTCCCTTGCCAGCTAGCCTGGCACACACAGCAGCGAACAGCTCGAGAGGTGGGAGGCGAGACCCAACAGCAGGGGTTGACCTCTACCTCCGCACATGTACACCCCCATATCCACACACCGCAAATAAAAACTCTTTAGCGGCTAGAAAGATGGCTCAGTCATCCACACCCACATGTCAGCTCACAATTGTAACTCTAGTTCCAAGGAATCCACTGCCCTCTTCTGGTTTCTGCAGGCAAAACATCTATACATATATTTTAAAAACAAACTTCTTTAGGGGCTGGAGAGATGGCTCAGTGGTTAGGAATGCTTACTGCTCTTGCAGAGGGCCCCAGCACCCACGTGGCAGCCTACATTTATCCATAACTTCATTTCCATAGGAACTGGCACACTCTTCTCACCTCCAGGCATGTACACAGTGTACATACTTATGTAGGCAGAGTTTCTCTGTGTCTCGGCAGCCGCTCCCAAATAACCATTCAGGGACTTATTATTAATTATAAATGCTCAGCCAGTAGCTCAGGCTTGTTACTAGCTAACTCTTTTTTTTTCCCCTGAGACAGGGTTTCTCTGTGTAGTTTTGGTACCTGTCCTGGATCTTGCTCTGTAGACAAGGCTGGCCTCAAACTCACAGAGACCCGCCTGGCTCTGCCTCCCAAGTGCTAGGATTAAGGGCATGAACCACTGCCACCCAGCTAGCTAACTCGTATATTTTAAATTAACCCATATTTCTTATCTACCCTCTGCCACATGGTGGTACCTTCTTTTAGCACGGCATGTTCATCTTGCTTCTCTGTGCCTCTGCTCACACTCCCAAGACTTCACCCTTCTTCCCAGCATTCTCTTTGCCCTGAAAATCCTATGTAGCTATCAGCCAATCAGCTTTTTATTAACAGTGATAGTAACACATTTTCACAGTGTACAGAAGGATTATTCCATAACATTTCCCCCTTTTTGTCTAACTAAAAAAGTTTTAACACAGTAAAATTATATATAACAAAAACCGTTATCAAGTATGAATTACAGTTACAAAAGCCGGTCCATTTGTATTTGGCAAAATTAGAAAAAATACTATCTATCTAATCTTTGTGAATCTAAAGTTTTATACCTAATTTACTTTTTTATGATTTCCTTAGTTCTGATACTAAGGAAAACTATAAGTTTAATTATTTAGTCTTTAACTCCATCAATGACACCTGAAGAGTGTAATGTTACCTAACGACAGGGATATCAGCTGCCTAGACAGTTGTCCAAAGTTCTTCTGTAACGTGGGGGCATCCAACTTTGGCCTACAGGCCTAGTATATCTGACAGACATTTCTGAGAAGCAGGGAATTTTGAAGGACTACCCTACCTTGTCTTGGCAAAGTTTGGCAGTCAATTTTTTTATGTCCTGCTGGTCCAGTTTGGACAGTATACTGTCAGTAATTGAGGCAAGGGCAGTTTCTTTGCCCAAATGACTAGCTTTTGGCATAAACAAATGAACCCCATATGGAGTTTCTTTGATGTCCATCATCTTCTCTGAATTCGGTTGGTGCTGTCAGGAGCAGACATGTCTCATTGTCATGAAAAGCCTTAGATTATTAGACGTATTAAGTGTCATATTCTGTAGGTCTTTGAAGTGTTTGAAGACCATCTGTCTATCTAAATAGATCTGTGTATGATCTTTAAACATACCTAACGTGACTATAAGTTTGACTATTGTAGATGACTATTAATCTGTATTTCTTAATTATACATTATATTTTTAAATGAGCTGCATAAACACAACACCCTAAACAAGAGTAGAAACATACATGCAGTATAACAAAATTAACTTTAAATTTCTATCAATAAACTAAATGCAAGGCAATATAAAACGTTTTGAGATTAATAGCTATTTTTTGGATTAAAGTATATTCAGTAATCTACTCTTTTATTTCATCATTTCTGTATCATATCCCCTTTTTTCCTTTACAAAGAGATCTTTGAATTTGACTGTTTAGCTTTTTTTTTTCTGACTATGACCAATAACATACATACACGCAGGTAAAGCATTCAAACACGTGACAATGTTTTAAAAACTGAATTTAGAAACAGTTAGACACAAAAAACTTGTAACATTATGGTTCTATTTACAGGAAGTGCCCAGAATAGGGAAATCTATACAGACAGGGAGATTGGTGGTTGCTAAGGTCTGTTGGGGGAACAATGTGGGGTGACTACTGACAGGTATGGGGTTCTCTTTAGGGTAATGAAAACCTGAAACTGGACCCAGGTGATGTGGATATACTAAAAACCACTCCGCCATATACAGTTGGTCTCCACATCTATAAATTCAACCGACCACTGATCAAAAATACATGAAAAGAGAAAATTGGTCTTGCACCAAACGTGTAAACCTGACTTGTCATGCCCTAACAGATTAGATTATGTTCTGTGTTCTAAGTTAGCTTGAGGTGGTTTCAGGTACACCGGGGAGCATGCAGACATTATATACAAATACCGAACGCCTTCCTCTAAGAGGCTTGAACATCCGTAGGTTTCGGTAGCCTCGGAGATTCTGGGTTCTTAAAATGGTGAGTTTAACTTGCGTGAACTTGGTTTCAATTTTGAAAACGTATCATCTCTTACCTAAGAATTATGATATAAATCGCTCATTTCTTGTTGGGATGGAGTAGAGTGGTCTCAGGTGACTTCCAGCAATGGCTCAGGGGGACGCACAGCCAGCTCCTGAGGAGCACAGGGTCTTGGGGCTGGGTAGGCTGGAACTGGATCACGACAAGCCACACATCTGAGCCTGGCTGGACCTTAGGGCAGCCAGGGAGTGGGCTGCAGGAAGCCAGCTGCCCCCAGGCTCAGAATGGCTCTGGCTGGTGGCTCCTGGGTAGGAAGGGCCTGTGATAGTCATGAGCCCGGGGAGCTGGCGGGGACCAGAGAGGAAAAGTGGGTGCCTGGAAGCTCCCTCTGTGGCCCAGCCATGACGGCCCCCTTCCTCCTCCCTCCTCAGATCCTAGTAAAGACCATGATTCGGAAACGCTCTTTCGGGAACCCATTTGAGGGCAGCCGGCGGGAGGAACGTTCCTTGTCGGCACCTGGAAACCTGCTCACGTGAGTGACCCCTACCTTCCTTCCAGTCCCCGGGGTGGTATACTAGAAACTAGGCCTGGGCCATCCCAGGAGAGACACACTGGGGACATCAGTAGGCCTTGGCTTGCTCAAGTAGCATCCTCAGCTCAGCCAGCATCCATCTTGTTGGCAGTACACCCACCCTGAAGTTCTACATTCCTCTGAGGACTTACTCTTTCGCTGGAGGATTCTGGGTTGTATCCATCTGTGGCCCCAGAAACCAGGGGCATTGTGGTGGATCAGTCACTTGGTCTTGCTCTGGGACTCCCTGTGTGAACATGCGTCCATTCACCGCCTCAAAAAAGACCACCCTGGTTCGGGCTCTGTGTGGCAGATGCGGGTGTCTGCTGTCTCTGGGGTGTGGGGGGCATCCCCAGAGGTCCCTTCTCACTTCCCTTTTCCCTTCCTCTGGCCATTCCAGCAAAAAACCAACCAGGGAGTGGGAACCCTTGTCTGAGCCCAAGGTAATGCCTGCCTGCCTGCCTGCGCCTTCCGCCTCCCCTCTGCTGGGACCTGGGGGCGGGCATCTGCAGAGCACGCGGCGGGCATCTTCCACCAGGCGGATGTGCCTTCGGCCTGAGCTGCTCTGCCTGGCTCCCGGAGGGCCTCTGGGTCTACAGTGAGGGGGCATCCAGGGGCTTGGTTCCATGGCGTGTCATGCATGTGGGCTGGGCTGCGTGCGGTGCATGGCGCTCCACCCGGAATGCCTTGTGGGCTCACCCGGGTCTTCAGAAGGCTGTGTACCATGCACCACGGCAGTGGCACTGAAGGTCTCTCGTGGCCCTCCCGGGGCTGTAAGTGTGCACACAGCACGGATCAGGCCGGCTGCATTCTGTGGCTCTTCACTAGGGCTTCCTCTGCAATTCTGGTGGCTTAAAAAAAAACTAGAACTGAGTCCCATTCTGTCTGTTGACCTTAGCGCGTTGGGGCTTTCTCCCTCCTGCCTGCCCATGTCGGCCAGTGTTACTTACAACTCCCAGGGCAGATGAACACTTTTGTTGGGTGGACCTGTTTGGTAACCCTGCCCCCCTGGAGTGCCTGCATCAGGGCACTGACCCTGATGAGGCTGCCGAACTCTGTTGGGATCTCCTGTCAGCCCCTTCTCTTGTTAAAAATGGCTTTTGTTTGTTTGTTTTGTTTTGTTTTTCGAGACAGGGTTTCTTTGTGTAGCACTGTGGCTATCCTGGATCTCACCCCAGGCTGGTCTTGAACTCACAGAGAGTTCCTCTGCCTCCCGAGTGCTGGGATTAAAGGCGTGCGCCACCACCGCCAGGCCTCCTAAAAATAGCTTTATTGGGGCCAGATAGATCGTTCAGTTGTTAAAGTTTTCCACAGAAGCGCGAGGGCTTGAGTTCCATTTCCCAGGACACATGTAAAACGCCAGGGGAGGTAGCGTGAGTTTTCTGGGGAGGCAGAGCAAGTGGATCCCTAGACCTCACTGTCCAGTCAGCCTGGCTTCAAAAATCCAAGTGGCTGGTACCTGAGGAGAAGGCCTAGAGTTGACCTCTGGCTTCCGCACATGTGTGACCGTGTACATAAAACACACACAGTAACTTTATCCAAGGCTCAGGCTGTAGCTCTTTGGTAGAGTGCTTGCCTCGCATCCCCAGAGCTGTGGGTTCCACCCTCCCCAGCTCTGCCAACAAATGAAATGCTCAGTTTTACTGGTAAGATAATTAACCCCCCTAGCTCCTCGTTGTAAAGTGTGTGGTAAAGTCAGTCACTTACACAGCCACCAGCACGGTTTCAGACCGTGAAGGAACCTTCCTCCTCCTCCTCCTCTTCTGAGCTGTCTCCAGTCAGATCTCTCAGTTTCCAGCATCCACTGATGTCCGTTCAGTTTTCTACAGATTTGTCCATTCTGGAGGGTTTCTGTAAATGGGATAATATGGTACGAGGCCTTTCATGTCTGGCTTCTGTCTCTCCGCATATATTTTCAAGGCTGATCCACAGCATAGCATGTGTTAGGACTTCCTTCCTGTTCATAACCAAGTAGTATTTAGATGGACAGTAATATTTGGATCCATTGATGGAAGGAATTTCTCTCTTGGCTGTCACAAACGAATGAGGCCGCTGTGAACATTTGTATGCAAGTGGGAACTATTTTCTCTTCATTGGGAATTGGTCTATACGAGGATGTTTGTTGGCCACCTGTATCCTCGGAGCCAGGGGCTTGTGGGATGTAAGAGAAGACCTGGGGGTTAGGGATTTAGCTCAGTGGTAGAGCGCTTGCCTAGCAAGCGCAAGGCCCTGGGTTCGGTCCTCAGCTCCGGAAAAAAAAAAAAGGAAGAAAAAAAAAGAGAGACCTGTTGTTTGGGCATGGTGTTTTTGAGAGGAGAGCCAGGGAGGTGTGTCCAAATTAGCAGTTAGACGGTTGGCCACCTTGTTCCCAGACGACCTGTAGCCTCACGTTTGTGTCATGAGAAATGGAAGCCTTTTGTGGGCCTTCTCTTTTCTCTGTGGTAAGGCTTACCAAAACCAAGGCTGCCTCCCGACTCTGAGCAGAGTCCGTTCTTTGTTTCTCGTCTGTTGTTTGTGTGTTTTCGGTGAGATCAAAAGGGCAAGATACCGGCAGACGTAAGATTGCCTCCGTGCTGTATGCGCCTTTATTCCCTAGTCAGCGGACACAGCCTCACCCTAGGGCTCCCTGCCAGGGCTGGGACTTTGTAGAGCTTATTCATGGGAGCTCCTGGGCTGAGGCCTGTCTGCAGCGAGACCCAGCATCCCAGCATCCGCCTTACAGGCACTGCTAGCCTAGAGCATAAAGATGGGCGCACAGTAGACCTCAGAGAGCACACCCCGCTTTGGGGTGTTCCATAAGTAGTCCGGTCCCCATTTTATAGTTCCTTGCTCTTTGGGGGTCCATCTTGCTTCTCCATTTACAGGGGAGGCAAAGTCGGCTTTGAAATATTTTAAGTGAGCAAGTAGAAATGGGGAGCACGTCTAAAAGAGTGGATGTGACCCACGGGAGCAGGAGCATGCAGGAGCCTGCAGGAGCGTGCGGAGGTGGGAGACCGGCCAGGACGCCGCCATCATTTATTTCTCCAAGCCTTAATGCTGGTTTTCTGTCCGGTGAGCAGGAAACAAGGCAGCGAAGACAGCATCCGGGGCCCCGAGCCAGCCCCCGTGGGGGAGGAGGAAGCGCTCTTGTGAAAGGTGGTCCCTGCGTGGAAAGTTGGGGAGTTCCGGCCCCCGCCTCCCCACCACGCATGCCTCCGCTGCAGCCCGAGGAGGCGATGGAGCCGGAGTAACTGCCTGGACCGCCCGACCTCCTCGCATGCCTGGCTGCGTGGCCCTGGCCCTGCACGGGGCTGCTGCACCCTGCGTTTCCATAGCAGCATGTCCTACGGAAACCAAGCACGTGTGTACAGCCTTGACTGCCATCTCTGGTTACCTGGGTTTTTGTTTATTTGTTTTGGGATTTTTTTTTTTTCCTTTTTCTTTTTTCTTTTTTGGTGTGTGTGTGTGTGTGTTGGTGTGTGTGTGTG